ACCCTTTTGTTTTCTCCCTGCAGCGCTCCAATCCACATGCTGCCTACCAGAACCCTGGACCAAGCACATCACTGCCCCAAAGCAGCATGGGATACTCCTCTACCTCCCAACAGCCTCCCCAGTACTCCCACCAGACCCACCGCTACTGAAACAACCCTCCTTCACGTACATGCACACATTTATAGACACATGTACACACACACACACAGCCCTCGACCACGCCCACCTGAACGAATGTACTGCGGGATGTGGGGAAGTCCAAGGCAACAACCCACCCCCACCCCACCTTACCCCACAGAGGGCACTTTCTCTGCAGCAGTCCGTTAGGCCAGAATTCCAACAATATTCACCTTTTCCAGATAACACAACATAACCCCAGTATTAGAAACACCGCTATAGAGCAAAACCTGATAGGTGAAACACAAGGCGGGAGGACGAGAAGAAAGGATACGCATTTGAATCCAACTGTTACATAGACGTAATCAAGAGAAGACGGCTCAGTTCGGAGGACACGTGTCGGATCTGTGGTGTCATCTCCTCCCCTCTTCTTCTTCACCTGTCTCCTCCACCTACACCCACCTACCTACCCCGGCCACTTACCCTCTTCCTGTCGAAGCTTGGATGAGACTGAAAGCTGCTATGTGACTGCCAGCGTTGACAGATTCCCTGTCCGTCTGTCCTCCTGTCCGTCTGTCTGTCCGTTTAATTTTGTGCGTGCGCGCCCCCCTGTGAGGGCCTCAGCCGAGGACTGAGCTGAGCTGCTGTGAAGCATGCTGGGAGGATGTGGAGCCCCCGCAGCTGTGGCGTTGAGGGTTTTTTTCTTTCTTTTCTTTTTTTTTGTTCAGAGAGGACAAAAAAAAAAATGACAAAAAGATTTTAGTAGTTTATAATTTAATCTGTTTTCATGGTTTTGTTTTCATGGCAAGAGTAGCAAGGCAGCTTGGACTAGCTGAGCGCTCAGCTGCTGTATGCTGTGGGTAAGCCTTACAACATGACGACAAAACCAACCAATCGCATGGAGGATGGCAGATGGAACATGCATTGTACTGCATTGTATTGAAATATTTTACATGAAGCAAGTATCCTGACAATAAAAGTGGAAACATTAATATTGTTGATATTTTAGAAGTGAGTATGTCCAAGCATCATCTTTTTTAATGTTTTTGCCATTTCCATCTGACTCACCTGCGGGGGACATTTTTTGAGTGTGAAGATCAATCACATTAGCCAGACGAAATGGGTATTTAAATTCTCTGCTAGCTAATAGTTATGACACTGGTATTTTATAGATATGCTTTAAAGCAACACCTATTGTCACAGAATAGTTGCTAAAACATATAATACTGGAGTACCTCATTGTCCATTAGATATAACAACTCACTCACCCACTGTGTAAACCTTATAGGGGATTTATTGGATTAAGGTTGTAGACTTTCAGCTAAATTAGTGACAGAAATTTCCTTAAAGATTGTATTTTTATCCTTTATTTGACAGTTGCAGCAAATGTTCTGTCAATTTGGAAAATAGATCAGGGTCTCATTGCTCTGGAAATATGTGTCCATGTGGTATGCACCTCAACTATTTAGATCGCAGGTTGCACCACCTTTGGAAGTTTCCTGTTCAACAAAATGCCTTCATCTCACTAATATTTTCATTACCAAGTCATCAAATGTGTGAAATATGAGAAAGCTGAGGAAGGAAGCCATTAAAGATTTATACAGTGCAAGTTCCAGGAGTAATCAACGCAAAAAAGAAAAATATTTCAACAACAATACTATGAAACAGAGAAAATCAGCAGATTGTCACACTTGAGTATCTGGAACCTGAGAATATTTGGCATTTTTGCTTGCATATCACATTTCTCTTGTGCAACTTAGTTGCTTTAGCTGTAAAATGTATGAAAAACCACAACATAACTGTCAAATTCACAAAAACCTGAACTGAGAGCTAGAGGTCACACATTTGCAGCAAAGTCCAGGTGTGTCAGTGGTCGCTTTAATATTTAGTCATGTTTCTGTGTTCATGGCTAAATCTGTTACATGTGATAAACTAGCAGCTGTGTAACAAATTCAAGCCTTGGCTTTCTCTCTTGTCTAGGAATAGAACTGCATTTTCTGGCACTGAAACTCCCCATTCCCTTTACTACAGACCACATACTATTCTCTGCATCTTCTCTCTTTGCTTCGATGACAGTCATCTTCCTCCGATTGTTTCTGTCCACAAACACACCTGAGAGACTGAACCACAGATCTAAGTATAGCAAGTCCTCTCAGTGAACCTCTTCCTGCAGGATGCTGGCCCAGCTATTTGAGTCTGTTACACAATACTCTCCCTGCTCATTCTTAGCATCACTGTGTGTACCTTACAAACCCCCTACAGACCTTTGTAGCTCGCAGTTTTATTTATTTCTCCCTATTTGAATAGCCTTCATGTCTATAAATAACCACGGGGCTGATAATTAATAAAAGCCCCAATATTTAAGACAAGCAATGGGATACAGCTGCGTGAAGAAGAAAAAAATAAAAAAACTTGTTAATCTCTTCAGCAACGCCCAACTCTAGCCCCGCCCCCTCCATTCTCAACACTTCTTTGGAGCTGGGGAGTCTCCCTGTCACTCATTCTGTTTGTGAGACGCCATTGGCTGATGTGAACGCCCGTCACGTGCTAAATCCTCTGTGCGGAGCTCTGATTGGTGGAGGCGGCATGTGGGCGCGTCCCCGTCCTCAAAGGATTTTCCCCGGAGTGGCCAGACGGGCTGGGGGACATAGGATGGCAGAGCTAATTGGAGTATCTAACGGGACATGCGGACGGGCTGATTTCTTCTAATATTTCAAGTGCTGGTGAGGGCCTTATGATACTTTTTACAGCGATTAATAACACATTTTATCGTAGTAATGCAATTTGTGTGTCTAATTCTGTTGACTGTAGTCTCATTTGTCCAAACTAAGTAGTCGACCAGTGGACATAAGCTAGCTAACCAAGTGGTCAGTCGGAGCGGACCCCCAGTTGAGGATAATAAACCGACTCGAACCCTGAAACACGGAATATTAGTCTCTCTGCTGGGTAACTTTAAAGCTTTCCTAAACAGATAATTGATGTTGGCTAGTGCACCGGCGTGTTAATCAGGTGGTTAGGTACCCCCAGACAGAAAACGGCTGGTTAAATTTCAGATTAAAACTGGCACACACAAAAAAACCCTAACCGGGGTGGAGATGAACAGATGTGGGTCAGTCCATCGGTAACGGGAAGCGACGGTGCGGAACAGTGATTGATCGCGGTTGCCATCAATTTACGCCCGTGTGTGCGTGTTTCAGTGGACGTGCGTGTACGTGCATTTATCAGCCTGAAGGGAAAGGGGGAAAGGGAGTGTGTGTGTGTGTGTGTGTGTGTGTGTGTGTGTGTGTGTGTGGCTAAACTGAGGATTTTAAGGCATAAAACATTGAATTAGTACATTGAAATAACTCCAGCATTGCATCCATGTGGTTCAGTCAACCTGGAATCCGACAAAAGTGTTGAAAATTGAACTATAAATGATTCTTAGTTAAACACAACGTGTTTTATCTTGCATGATAACTTGTCATCAATATGGTGGCTGCATCAGTTAGCAAACCAACCACGTTTCAGACTAATTGATCACTGATTGCAATCAATAAAATGACTGAATTAACACAAACAAATGCAAAACATGCAAGTGAGGAATGCCTATAGCTAGTATTTCTTATTGATCTCCTTAAATATTATATTTACTCCTAAAAGGAGAAAAGCAATTGGTAAAACAAATTCTGTGTTCCTTGCTAGATTGATTACCAAATTTTAGATGGTTTTACAGACCAGCTACAAATAAATTTGCTCCTTATCCTAACCTAGTGTATCATTATCCAAAAGGATTCTAACAACTTGGGGTCACGTTTGCATCAATAAGTCAGGCATTACTGTGAGTAAGAATAATCCTGATGATCTATTTAACAGATATTAGGAGTGTGTAGTATGGTTGAAGATACTTCTATCTTACAATATGTAGAAAGTGTGCAAAATCATGAATTAATGAATGAAAATGACGTTCTTAACAATCAACCACACTCTTTTATGTGTAAAACAAACCGCTTAGTTACATGTTTTGCTAGTTTTTAATTACAATTTGCTTTGAAAAATTAATTATATTATCAGATTATGATCTTGTTTAGAGACAGTAAACAAAATTATTGAATTACCACCCAGTCCTAACAGATAATGTGTCTTTTACACTGCAGAAAATAACTAAAAAATGATAGCCTGGCCATTTCTGTGTTCAGTAGTATTCACTATTCAGTAGTTGTACCCACAGCGAGTCCAAGGCACAGCACCATCAATGTTTCACTACGAGTGCCCCTGAGTAACATTGGAGCGAGGAGACATTTTTGGACAGGCGTAGACTCACAGTCAAATTTTTTTTACATCATATTTAGGGCAGTGTGACCTGACGTAATCCAAGTTGCATTATTCATAGCGTCAGAACAAGCAAAACAGCCTTCAACACAAGAAGCTGTACTCGGCTCATAAATTGGTAATGACTCCCCTTTCAGATCTTAATGGAGTTCTCACATCTGTAGTAAAGGCCTCCTCTATCTGTGTTGGTCTAGAGATGCAGGCTTCTTGCTGGAGTCTCAGGGGGAGTGTGTTTTACCCCAAATGCAGCCTGAATGTCACCTCTCTGAGGATCAAAGGCATTTTTGCTGCTAATGGGTCATTTGAGAAGCTACCTGGTGCGTTTTACACGTTTGTTTGGCTGAATGACTGAGTGTGCGTGCTGTGTTGCAATAATTTACGCATCCGAACACATGACAAAAAGGTGGTGCTAGAAATATGTGAGAATCTGAGTGTGAAAGTATAAGCTCACGTGCTCGTCTCTGGAGCTTTTTTTTTTTTTTTTTTGCCCCTGTCCTCTTGAGTGAGTGGACGGTGAAGGAGGAGCGCTCACTTGCTACGCTTTCATTGCACGAGTACAGGGGGGCCTTAAAGAAGGTCGAAGAGGAGGCGGAGGAGGAGGGGGAGGATGCATGGGAGAGCTAGTGCTGTTGCCGTGTGAACGGAGCTCTATTGTCCCGGGAACCTTTCAGTGGCTTCCCCGAGGTCCCTGTTCCTACCCTTCCCCCCACTCGATACACTCTTTCTCCCTCTTACACACCAACACTTAAACACACACATACTTTGTCTACCACCTTGCGTTACACACAACCTTTTCTCTTCCTCACACACTGTCTCATTCACCGTCTCCTTTTTTTCTGTCACACTCTTCCCCACTTGGTGTCTCTCCCATGCACCCTCCTTTGCCTCTACTTTCCCCTCATTTCTCACAAGCAGACAAGGCCTGGCCCTCCTCCCACTTGCCCCCCAGTCACTCATTATTTCGCCTCATTGATGTGATTGTCATGCCAGCCAGACAGTAAAAGCAAAAACATGCAATCTTCTAATTTGCATCACCTCATTTCTATGCCACAGAAAGCGCAGTGTTTCCAAAATGTTTACGCAGAAAGCCAAATCTAAGCTGTGCTCCTGCACCAAAACCACTCCTTAGCGACTGTATTCAGTGTCCTTTGTGGCAGCACATGATGGTGTAATTTTACCCTTTTGTTTTCTCTCATTGGCGTGAGGCTGTTGGGGTTTGCAGGGGGTCGCAGGCTATGAAAACGGGGCCAGATGAGGACTCTGCTGGTGGGAACTGGCCTTGGTCAGCAGAAGTGTCTCTTTTCACAGTCTGTAATTACAGTAGTTTCCTGCCAGAACACTGATAGCGCGGCGCTACTACTTGATTTGCTGGTGATATATTGTGCTAAAAATGTAGTCTCACTTTTTTATTGAGTCTCTAATAAGATAAGGATTCACAAACAAACGGATGACTAGTGAGAGGGCCTGTATCTTTTATTTATGATGTGTTAACAAATATTTAGAAACTTAGTTTCCATGGATATCTAATGTTTTTGTTGTTATAAATGAATATTTGCAACATTTAGTAAATCTGAGTAGTGTTTCTTGTACCTGTCTGCTATTATTAGCCTTCTGTCAGACTGCCAGACCTCCCGTATTGGTGCAAGCTGCTTTTCCCTGTTGACTTTTTTTCCTATTAGTTTTTCTGGCATAGATGCACAGTAAAAGCTGGAATAGTAATCAAGAGTGAATTGTTCGATTGGCAAGTCTAAAAATGGTTTAGGAACATTTTGATTGGGAAAGGGTGTGTGCGTGTTTCCATCTGTCTCCCTGTCTGTCCCCCTGGTTGCTTCTTGAGCCATAACTGTATTGTTCTGGCCAAGTGTTTGGACAGGAAAGTGTGATGTGACACAGGGAGGATGAGGAAGCAGGAGCCAGACTCAGACTTCAAAACAGGAAGCAGGAAGAGTCACCGATAAGATGGCTGCTCTGATGCACCCTGGGATTTCTCCTGCTTTTTGTGACTGTCTGTAGTCCTTTGAACTACAGAGAGCTCAGAGTCTGATTGGAACCAATCAGGATTTAACTTCTGAGTTGCAATGGGGGTGGGGAAATCTGTTCAGCAGTGTTTTGACCCTGTAAGACGTGGGATATATAACATTGCTGGCTTCATTAATCTTTTGATGTGACAGAATTCTGTCATTCACACATAGGTCACTTTTACATTAATGCTCCTCACGGCTGTGTTACGACATCCTGTCTTCATGTCATGTGACATCCTGCCTTCTTCAGTAAGTAATGAAGTTACTTACGCTGTTGTTTCACATGTGCAGAGGCATGCAACTCTCTTGCTTGGAGACGCTCATATGGATCCTGCTGCTGTTGGATGCTGCAGATATGTATTAAACCCAGAGGACAGATTCCTACAAACTACTGGAAGCAACAAACTAAACTGTAGCTCCTGTTAACGTCATCTGGGGGAAAAAAAACAAACTTGATTACATGTTAGTGTCTGGTTTTGTCGCAGGGAAGTTTTGATGTGGTGGACATTTTAGTCTGTAGTAGATGTGAAATCATAGAACAAAGTGAATGGGAATGGTGTTTTGTAATTTTGGCACATAAACTGTCTTTTGCTCTCTGTTGTAGTTGTGGACGAATGTTGGTATTGAAATGTGGGAAAAGCCTTCCCCTAAATCGCGTCACACAACTTGGAAGTATCGCTTGTGTGCACCTATCCATCAATGCGATGCCGTGCAGTTCAGACTTGTGCTGTATTGAAAGTGATACGGAAATGTTACAAGGTCCGACTTAGTGGGATTACCATCACAACTTTTACGGAGTAGTGACCAGGGTGTTCATTCAGACATAAAGCCGACTCGTTCAGTTGCCGTCAGATTAAGGAAAGGAGCGCATGTCTGCAAGGGACATATGCTGTCTGGAGGAACTTGAGAAGCTTTTACTCTTCGGCTTTGTCTTGTGATGTATTTATTCTTCTTTTCGTGTTTGGTGTTGACCATATCCATGAATCTGTGGCTATGTTAGGTTTCCAGCTGGGCCAGTGACAAGCTGGCCTGGGATTAGCTGGCATGCTGTATCTTCCTATCCCTAATGCTTTAATCTCTCCGCTGGTCGCCAGAAGTCTTCTGGCTTTGGGACACTGTTGGTCATCACTCTCAGTTCTCTTGTCAACAGCTTACACATGCTTTGTTTGTTTTTAATGGCAAATACTGTATTTTTGAAGGAAAACTACAATCACCTTAAAATTAATTGCAGTCCCTCACTACAACCACAGCAACACAAACAACATCCACTTAACTTAAGAATGGCATTCTTAAAGTAATATTTATTATACATGAAGCTGCAGCAATTAATCAATTTGTCGATGAGTCGTCAACAGTTAAAATAATTGCCTACTATTGATTTAATAGTAAATTAACTATTTATTGGTTTGAGTAATTCTTAAAGAGAAAACGTCTAAATTCTGTGATTCCAGCTTCTTAAGTTTAAATATTTTTTTGTTTCTCTCTTCCTCTATGACAGTAAACTGAATATCTTTGGGCTGCAGACAAAACAAGACATTTGAAGATGTTATTTTGGGCTTTTGTATTCACTGATTGACCAAACAGCGAATCAATTAATTGAGAAAATAATCAACAGATTCATTGACAATGAAGACAATCGTTAGTTGCAACCTGATTGTACAGTTATTGCATTTTATTTTAACTTGACTCCAAAATCACCTTCATTCGCTCAAGTACGGCTGAATGATACTGACAAACTCCTAAAAGCAGTAATTATTTAAATTCTGTTTAAATATAATTACAGGTGCGCTAGTATAACATGTAAACTAAAGCAGTATTGGTTAACACAGATTCTCAGAGTAAATCCTATTTTAATGAGTGTGGAATGATGCTCAAGCAGTCGGCTAGCACAGTCCTAATTTTTACAACTGTATGTATCAGCTTCTGAAACGCTAATACTTGCTGCTTTTCTTTGTTATCTGGGATAATAAATTGTATATATTTTTTAAACAAGCACTAAACAAGGAAATTTGGGCTCTTGAGAATGCTGACATTATATACACCATCAAACCATGAATCAAGAAAGTAATTAGTAGTTGAAGAAAAGTCTCCCGGTACATTAGATGCTGACCAACTGGTTCTGTGTCTCATTGTGTCTGTTTCTTGCATTTCCTTGCAGTTTGTGTTGGTGTGAGGCCTCACCATGCCGCTGGTGAAGAGGAACATCGAGCCACGTCACCTCTGCCGAGGGGAGCTCCCCGAGGGCATCGGCAGCGAGCTGGAGTGTGTGATGAACAACACGCTCTCTGCCATCATCCGCCAGCTCAGCAGCCTGAGTAAGACACAATCACTTAAAGTAAATCAGTAAAAAAAAAACTGCGGCTAAAAGCCTTACATTTAGGGGAGAAAAACACATATTTCGGTGACACTGAAAACAGATTGAAACCAGAGAATCCTCAGGCTACGTGACCCCACTAAGTTTAGTGTGATGATGGTCTACACTGTGTGTTGCGTCTTTATAGCAGGACAACATCACATGCTTTCATCATTAATCCTGAAGCTGTGATTGATTTGGGTGTTGTCATGGTTACAGTGCCCGGGGTCACTGGGCTCACAGCGGGCTTAAGCAGCCTCACGCTGGAGTATGAAGGGTTGAAATGTCAGCCTTTTAGATAGCTCCACTAAAATGAACTTAACTGTCCAGCTGTGGACATGTGACTGTGCAGATATGCTTTGTGTGTGTTAGTGTGTGTGTCTGTGTGGCAACTGTTTGCGTGCAGAACTGTTTAATATCGATTGTTATGCTCACTGTAAATGCATTCGACAGAGTTATTACAGCACCAAGGACATTTATCTTCCCATCCATCTTCTGTTCCCGTGTCCTTGTTTCATACCCGCCAACACTGCGTTATGTGTTGTCATTTAGCAGTTCCCTCTTTGCCCATTTATTCTCAGTTGCTCTCATTTTCCTGCTCTCACAATGACTGTGTTGAAAGTGCTTTGTGAACCTCAGCAGCATAATTTTAACCCAGTCCTTTTTGCTGTTAACTCTTTGCTTTTTTGGCCCCGTCCTGTCCATTCTCTGTGTGTCTCTTATTGTGTCAAGTTCCTGCCCTGGGAGTGGGCCTTTCAACAGCAGCTGTGTGGGTTAAATATAAATGCTCACACATGCCTGGCGGGGTGTATCTACAGACTACATACGCTGTGTGTGCGTGTCTGTGCGCACATGTGTGCAAGTGGACCATAGGAATCCTCAAGAGAGGTCAGAGTTGACGGGGCTCCGCATGCCGGATCTGTGATTCTTCCTTCCTCTAAATGTTTTTCCTGCAGCCCATCCTGTCAGCAGGGGGGGGGGACCGAAATAGCTCTAAGGCTGTGTTTGTCATTCCACATATTAAATATTACACAGTTTTCTATAATTAAATACCTTTATTAGCACTGCACTGAAACTACTCCGATTGGTTTTATCTGTTGTCATTGAGGAAAGGATTTTTTTAAAGTATCGTAGTCTTTCCATTTTACTACTTCCAAGATTTACAGTCTTGTAGTTAAAGGCCTTTGCTCTCATTAGGCTTATATAGTTGTTTGACACTTGCACGTGACTTCCTCCCTCAGCCCACCCTTTTGGGTAGTAGGGATATTATTACCTTTCGGGGTTGTTGGGTTAAAAATGTGTGTTAGAACCAAAACAACAAAACATTTGTTATTCAGTCATATGTCAAAGGGTGCTGCAGGCGACATTACAGATGTTGCTGTTAAAATGTTTAACTCAGAGCTGAAATCCTTCACCCCACTACCCATTCACACTGTGGATTTATTACAACAGCAACAGCAACCAATAGCACTAGTTCTGATTCCCAACACTCAACACATTGTAACACATAGCCCAAAGCAGTCTCTTGGTGTTTTTTTGCTCCTGTCACATTTTTCCTCACAGTGGGCTTATTTTTCACAACCCCAACAGCATGAACGCATTATAAAGTCTTGCACATGTATAGAAACTGCACAACCATGGCTAGAAGTACAGAGTAG